TCAATGGGGTAGTTAAATTTTTTGTGACCTATACTTTTTATGGTTTTATTCAAGGCGTTTTGTAATTTTAAACATTTCTGTGAAATCGGAATTTCAATTGAATTTACTTTGCCAGTGTGTTTAGTTTAAGATTCTTACGATAGATGGCGCCACGTTATAATATTTTAGTTTTAAAAGCACTTGATCTATAATTTAAGTTGAGAAGAAGAAGAAGAATTGATTTTTTGACGTTTCTTTTTTTCGGGTTATGTTTTTTTTTAATTTAGATTATTGAAAATCAATGTTATTGTTATGTTATTTGTAATTGATATTAGATAAGTGATTTATTAATAACGGACTCCAAAGCAGAGGAATCTTGTGGAATGGTTGGTTACATTGAACATTGGAGCTTTTAAACAAATAAAGTAAGTACCTATAATTATAATCATATTTTGTCGTAAATGCATTTCATTAGTATAATGCCTAGTTCTTTATATTCTTTTAGACTCTAAAATATCAAACAGTAATATGATACCTCGTAATAAGGAAGATAGGTACTTAATGAATTTGGTGACCATGTTTCACTCAACTGACAGTGACAGTATTTGTACATAACCTCTTCGGGTATTTTCTGACATAACCGAATGAAATCTTTAACAAGACAACTTGACAACAGGGTAATTTTCAACCAATAGAAATCTTAGAATGTTGGTCACATGGCGAGGTTTGTGACGTCATAAAAATTTATATTTTTTGTAAATATCTCGAAAACGGTAAACTCAATTGAAATTCTGATTTCACAGAAATGTTTAATATTACAAAACGCCTTGAATAAAACCATAAAAAGTATAGGTCAGAAAAAATTTAACTACCCCATTGTGTTATCTGAATTACAATTGCTACTTTCTTAAAATCAATTGTGTTATCTGAATTACATATGCTACTCTCTTAAAATCAATTGGAATAGCTGAATTACAATTCCTACTATCTGAATATCAACTGGAATAACTGAATTACAATTCCTACTTTCTGAATATCAACTGGAAAAGGTGTAGATAACACAAAATATCAGAAATTTCATAAACAACAAACTTTATCACAGTTGCTGGGATTTCATCATACCCACTAGAAGTTTTGTTTTTTAACTTATTTATAATATTGACAACACATACAGCCGACTTAAGAAATAACGGACATCCTGATTACTTTCATTGATGATTCTCGCTTAGATTTTTATCCATTTTTCGACGCTTTTGCACAACTGAAGGCTGTTTAATAATTATCCTTCGCTTTTTGATCACTTTATAGAGATAGGTGAGACATCCTGGGAATGAAGTGGGCATTACATCGTCAGGCAATCTAGGGATTTTCAAGGGGTACTGAAGTTTTTTAATATATAATTTTATCATTTTAATCCTCCAAAATATAAAAAAGTTTAATTTAAAAATAAATAATTTGTGTATTAAACTATTATGTATAAATTAAAATATTTACCTAGTTATATAATAAATATAATATAAATAATATCTATCTTATGATTAATAAAATTTTAATTTTAAAAACAAATTGTAAAAAAGTTTAATTTAATAATAAATATTATGTATATTATACATATTATGTGTAAATTAAAATATTCACCTATTAATAAAATAAATATAATATAAATAATATCTAATATTTTACCTAATAGTGTGTTTATGTTATTTTTTATCATGATAATACATAATTATTATGTAGTATCATAATTTTTATTTACAATGCCAATAAATTAATTTTGCCTATTTTACCTGATACTTACCGTATAGTTCAGTTTTAACTTCTCTAATTATAAGTTGTTTATTAAAATGTTTTTTTACAAATAAAATCTTTCTTTGAAAAAAGTCTGTATGTGGTATTTTCTTTTACCAAAAAATTAATCTGATCTTAGTTACTTTAAATAGAGAGACACTTTCTTTAAACAACTTTTTTACCCACCATTACACGTAGGTGCAAATCTTAACCATTGTAATAATAAAATAGTCTCGGACACTGAATAAATTAATAAAAATTACCGGCGTCTCCTTAATTTCGCAGAGAACCGAACGATTCGCATATCCCTTTCTCGCGTTGTCTCTCTTTCGACCTCTCTGTCGAACAGTGACCAAGTTTAGATCCACTTTTCAGCGGCTTAATACGGCGCGTTACATTACCAGTCTTATGTAGTATCATGTTTTAGACTATACTTTTTCTATGTTTACAAAAAATACCATATAAAAATAATTTAATTGGATGAAAGTGAGGTTGGATCGGTCTAAAATTTGTAAGATATTTATAACAGAGATGTCGCCTTGAGTGTTTATTCTGTCATCCGATGATATAATATTTCATTCTGTAACACTTTACGGAATATATGTAATTCCATAGATAAAAGTGATATTAAAACGGTAAAATTCCGTAATAGGAGTAGAAAAACCCTATTCTATCAGGGCTGTCATTAAGAAGATTATATTCAGGAGCTTCAACTCTATATAAATTCTTTGCAGAGATAAAAAAGGTATTTTTTTTCAAGCGGCCATGATATACAACCTTGTATGCCTATATAGAGATAGTTGAAGTGGGTCTTTTTCATTAGCGGCAGACAAAAAACTCAAAAAAGCCTAGGGATAGAAGTAAATCCATAGGTGTCTCAATAGACGTCAAATAATAAAATTAATTTAGCATTTCATACAAAGCAATCACGATGTATTAATTATATTAATTATAATCGCACGGAATATTTAGTGATTATTTATTAAATTTTAATTGAACGAAACAAAGAACAACTAGTTTATTAGTATAATATTATGATGATAGACGAGTCGCCAATGTCGGAACTCCAAATAAATGTCAGTACGTCAAAATTAATTCAAGCGCAGCATTTTGACAGAGCAGTGTTTATTTTTAGTTAAAGGCTTTGTTATCTATGGTTTAGGATATTTATCGGCATTGTAAGTAAGGGTTATAAGTTTTTTTAGTTTTTAACAATAATTTATAATGCTTTTAGCCAAAATTTTATACCACATAAATTATGAGTAAATAAAATAATTCTATTGCTTATCCTATTTATATTACGCCCTTGAAAAAAAAATTGTATATGTTATTTGGAGTAGAAGCTCTTTTTGTGCTTCGTACAGTTGCCTGCCTCAGCTACGCTTCGGCCGCCAATCTCTGTACTCACCACAAAAAGAGTCACTTCTACTCCTTATGACATAATCTACTATTTTTTAACCTACATTACACAGAACATTATTTTGTGCATCTGTCAAGCGTCAAGTGTTAAACCCATGTGGTTAAACCAATGTTTACCTTTACCAAAGTCGTAAATAAGCTTCTAGAAGATTATAATATTTTATATAAAAATCATTGTAGTAAACAGAACTGTTTTCTAAAACAGTGAGTCAATTTTATGAACTAATTAGTATTACTGCCGTTGGAGCACAAAACCTAAACTGTAATGATGTTAATTTGGTCATGCATTTAAATTTCACGTATAAATGACTTTTGCAATGTAAAATCACTTGATTGCTATTTCAAATAACTGATGTGCAGGTTTTTCTTTCCTTAAAACAATTTACAACACAGCAAAAACATCCAATAGTGATTTTCTCAAATAAAAATTTGAAATTTAAATAAAACCAAAAGTGCTTGTCAATCTAATCTAAGCGCGGTTGATTAATAATCATTTGTGCGCATTGTACACTAGCTTCCCTTCCTTTATCACGCTGACAAGCGACGCGTTTTCTATATATTCTCATTTAGGAGTTAAAGCTCCTGAATATAATCTTCTTAGCTGTCATCAAACTGTTAAATGTCAATGTTATGGTAAATTAACCTTAAAATTGACATTTGACAGTTTGATGACAGCCCTGATACAATAGGGTTTATTTTTTACAAAAGAGGAGTAAAATGGTAGCACTTTAAGGCTTCTTTTACGGCTTACAAGTGCCTCTGTAAGAGACACAACTTTTATTAATCTGTATAAACAGCACAAACCCAAAGCACAAGAATTGTAAACAGAAAAAAATGATCGCCATTAAACTCGCAGTGATTTTTATTGTTTTTAGTACGAGATAGAACAGATCTTGTTGTGTGGATTGTGGATAAATATATTAATGTAATGGGGGCATGTGGAACCACCTTTTAAAAATATTTGTAAGCAATAAAAAAATGCGGAAAGATACTAAATTAAAATATTCCAAATAATACAGAACTCTGCAACCACACTCTCAACAAAGCTTCAAGTTGCATGCGCCAACTCGCTACATGCAATAATCAATTCATTTAGCCAAAAAGGAATCCACCAACAAATTTACTTATTTTATTAAAAATAAAGATAAATTATTGTGAGAAATAAGAAGTTTAGAACGAAAGCGATTTAGAAATAAAATTAAAACTAAAGTAATAAAAATTAACACTAAAGTAATAAAGGAACCACATAAATTTTCGGACGCTCAGTTTAGCAAAAGCGAGTGTTTAACCCTCAGGGTTAGTTCTGTTGCATAACACCATTCAAATATACATAATAAATACTATTTTTGCTAAGTTTTTAGTACCATAATTTGTGTTATTGATATTGGTAAAATATATAAGATAAGTTGTGCAACCCAACCAATCTTTTAAAAATAAAAATTTAGAATGCTTCTCAAAAATCCCTTGTCGCTTGGAATTTTTCTCAATAAATGTTACTTGATATTGATATAAAATTAATACTAAATATACTTTAAATATTAAAAATAAATAATAATTACCTTTATTAAGCCCATAACTAATTCAGTGTAGAGCAAAAACACTGCCTTATTATCCCAAGGCGTTTCGCTATTTAAATATATTGGTAAAATATATAAGATAAGTTGTGCAACCCAACCAATCTTTTAAAAATAAAAATTTAGAATGCTTCTCAAAAATCCCTTGTCGCTTGGAATTTTTCTCAATAAATGTTACTTGATATTGATATAAAATTAATACTAAATATACTTTAAATATTAAAAATAAATAATAATTACCTTTATTAAGCCCATAACTAATTCAGTGTAGAGCAAAAACACTGCCTTATTATCCCAAGGCGTTTCGCTATTTAAATCAACAGAATGTAAGCCGTATTTTATGGCAATATTTGCTACTACAGTTATAAGAATTGCATATTCAAAGCCAAATACTAATTGTACAGAGGCACCTTTAGTAATTGTGGATTGATATGCATGTTGTATGAAGTATAGATCCATAAATCCCAATAATAGGAGCAGGCTTAAAACTCTAATATGAAAAAGCCAACTTATAACAGGGCTTCGTTCCATCTAAAAAAAATTAAAGGTTGTATATGAAACACTTATATTTAAAGAAAAAGTAAATTAACACAAAGAGATTATGCAGTTTTCTAACAAAATTAGTGAGATATTACACTAAAAATTTGAATCAAATTAAGTTTAATAATTAGATAATTTGCAAAGTATTTTTTTTTTATTTTGAACAAACTTTTAAAAAATTATAAATTTTCGAATTTCCCAATTAAACTTATATTTTTAAGGAATTCTAGTGGAGTGGCGCATATAAATAAACTATATTTTAAATTATAAGTCATTCCATATGAAATCAACAAATTTGAATTAAAAAGTGTGCCGCGCGATTTTTGATTTAAATAAAAAAAAATTGAGGATAATCTTTGAGGTACCAGAAATAACTTTAAGTCAGTACCCATCCGAAGTCATAAATTGGGTTAATTTTATACTTGTACATAATGGGCTATAGCTTTTAGCTTAGGATAGGTATTGAATTCATTGATGCTTTATTTGATTGGGTATTAAATGTACATTTCATATTATAAAATAAAATTGAACAGTAACAACTAGGAACCAAATGGTGATCATCTAAAATTTACAAAAAAAATTCTCATTTTTACCATTTTTAATTGGACCCTGTATCCATCCCAGTTGCACATTAAGGTTTGATTTTTTTTAGAAATATAGTATTAACCATTCTAATGCCACGACTTAAGTTTCATTGTTCTAGAATGATATCTACTAGGCAAAAAAAATTTTGAAAATTGATAATTTTAAAATATGCTTACGTCCAGTTAGTGCCATTCTATATGATTTTTTAAGTGCCACTTTTATAAAAATCAAAACAAAGGTTTTTACACTGACATTAATGGCCGTATGCAAAAATGTTTATTAAACTCTGATCAAATTAATCCAACGATTTAAGTTGATCAATGATTTAAGTTTTTGCCAATTTGACAAAACTGTATGACTCCCTAAAAACGTATAATTAATAAACCTAATTGATTAATTACACAGCCACACAAAAAAATTTTTGTTCTGATCTGGGGGCCTGACCATATTTTCTATATATTTTTGGGGTCGCTGAATCCGAATCCGAGGTCTATTTAACCCCATCACATCAGGATTTTGCCATAAAAAACCCATCATATAAGCTATTACTATATATAACCCTGAGAATGTGGTTTTAATATAAAAATCCAAGCTCTTAAATATCACAACTTTATAACTCACATAAGTCCATAAGTCCAACCACGTTTGTCAGATATTTAACTTAATATGTACGTTATTTTAATAACCGCATAACTTTAGTCTCTTCAAAGCTAAATGTCTGACATACGTAACTGTTGTAATTGATGTTGATGGGGTTAAATGGGTTACAAGGTTATGGGATTAAGTGGTTTATGGGATGGGGTTAAAATGGTTATTGGGTTTAATAGCTTGGGTTTTCAGATCACCATTTCATCCTAAGGATTATATGTTTAAATAGATGATGGGGTTAAGTGGGTCATGGAGTTATGGGGTTAAGTGAGTTTTAGGCTTATAGTGTTTAGGAGCTTGGGTTTTTAGACAACAACTTAATATTTAGGGTTATATGCGTTTAATAGCTTAAATTATAGATTTTTTGAGGTTATGTCAAAATCCTGATGTGATGGGATTAAATAGACCTTGGATTCGGATTCAGCGACCCCAAAAACATAAAAGAAATATGGCAGACCCCCAGATCAAAACACAAAAAAAAATTTGTGTTTTGATCTGGGGGCCTGACCATATTTTCTATATATTTTTGGGGTCGCTGAATCCGAATCCGAGGTCTATTTAACCCCATCACATCAGGATTTTGCCATAATCTTAAGAAACCGATTATATAAGCTATTACTATAACCCTGAGAAAGTGGTTTTCATATAAAAATTCAAGCTCTTAAATATCACAACTTCATAACTCACATAACTCCATAACCCATTTAACCTCATAACTCAATGTACATCAACCACGTTTGTCAGATATTTAACTTAATATGTACGTTATTTTAATAACCGCATAACTTAAGTCTCTTCAAAGCTAAATGTCTCAGATACGGAACTGTTGGAATTGATGTTGATGGGGTTAAATGGGTTACAAGGTTATGGGTTTAAGTGGTTTATGGGATGGGGTTAAAATGCTTATTGGGTTTAATAGCTTGGGTTTTCAGATCACAATTTCATCCTAAGGATTATATGTTTAAATAGATGATGGGGTTAAGTGGGTCATGGGGTTATGGAGTTAAGTGAGTTTTAGGCTTATAGGGTTTAGGAGCTTGGGTTTTTAGACAAAAACTTAATTTTTAGGGTTATATGCGTTTAATAGCTTAAATTATAGATCTTTTGAGGTTATGTCAAAATCCTGATGTGATGGGGTTAAATAGACCTTGGATTCGGATTCAGCGACCCCAAAAACATAAAAGAAATATGGTCAGACCCCCAGATCAAAACAAACAAAAAATTTGTGTGGCTGTGTTATCTTTAAAATGTGTATATTTTCAGTCAACTTCTATGCACTATCATAAGATTTAATTACATACTTAAGTCAAGTAACCTGGGACTTTGTCCAACCAATAACATCATTTAAAAAGTTATCTGTTAAATTTTGTTTAAATGCACCTTAATAGCTGGCCATACACAGACGTTATTGCGCGCGTTTTATCGTGTTATCTGCAAAAACATATGGAAAATCATGTAAGTGAGTGAGTATCGCCGTGCGCAATGATAGAACGGGAAGGGATTTCAGACGTGCTTTCCTCTGGTGTGTGGCGTACATCATTTCAGTATCCACACGCCACCTTTATCTATGCACGCCACATTCCGCGTCACGGTTTACCTTTGCTTGGCAAAATTTCACGTTGAAAATTTGTACATGATCACATGCATGACTTGAGAAATGACACTTTTTGCCCACTCACATACGATTTTTTCTTTGAAACTGATATACCACGGGCAATCACTTGCTAAATCATTTGAATACTTTATCAAGTGTATGGAACATGACACTTTTTTTGCCATGCCGTTATTTCGTGCATACTAACCTCTACATCCCAACACGCCACGATAAACCGCGCGAAATAACGCCTGTGTTTGGCCAACTAATTACAAAAATGATGCAATTAACCATAATGAATTACGTCAAATTAACAATTTGAATTGTATTATGTGTTATTTTGGTAATTAAGGTGCATTCAAACAAAATCTAGTGGATTTCATTGACAGATTCAGGCGTTATAAATTAAACTAGAGCATAAACATTAACAATGACTTAATACCATGGTAAAAGTTGCAATAATTGTTTATAAACATTACAAAACCTAAGAAATATGAAAAAAATAGTAAACAGGTTTTCTATGGCAACTTTCAAGTAAATGTTGTTACGTTTTAAGTGCTGTCATGTACACGCTTACAAAATTTAGAATTTATTTAAAAATAAGTTTGACAACCAAAATTATTTTTACCCTCTTATTTTACTGTTTTTACGTTTTTACGCATATTCTACAATCAGGGCCGGATTTACAAATTTGCCGCCCATGGGCCCAACGCATCATTACCCCGAATAACGAATGACTCAGCGAATAAGCTAGAGTCGCGCCCCACTCGCCTCGTGTACATCGACTGCCGCCCTATCTATAGATAATTTTATATCAGACTACACTATTATTCTGCGTAGTGCGTCACTGCGTAAAAGGGCGGCAGTTATAATGTATTAAAAAACTTCTCTTCCAACTTTTTATAGTTTTAATTAGTGTATAAATCAGTGAAAACAAAAATTCTGCATAAAACGCTCTTGATTTTTTAGCAAAATTTTAACTGGCCTTCAAAATTTGCCGCCCCTAAAAATTTGCCGCCCTGGGCCCGGGCCCATGTGACCCATGCCTAAATCAATTTTGAAATTAAAATAAAGCTTGTCAATTGACCTTCTTTATTTCTATTGTAAATCTTCCAACCAATGAGTGCATGTGCAGACTGTCACGTGAGTTAACGGTCTATGCGCGGTTGATTAATAATTATTTGTGCGCATTGTTGAAGCTCCTGAATATAATCTTCTTAACTCCATTATTATGAATAAATTCTATATTATTCATAATAATGGAGTTAAGAAGATTATATTCAGTAGCTTCAACAATGCGCACAAATAATTATTAATCAACCGCGAATAGACCGTTAACTCACGTGACAGACTGCACGTGCACTCATTGGTTGGAAGATTTACAATAGAAATAAAGAAGGTTAATTGACAAGCTTTATTTTAATTTCAAAATTTTTATTTAAGAAAACCACTACATATGGCATGTTTGTGCTGTGTTAAATATTGTTTAATTTGTCAAGGGATAAAAAACCTACACATCAGTTATTTGAAATACCATCAGTAGGTTTATAACAAAACATTACAGTGTAATAATTACACCACAGAACTTGAAATTGTCTGATTTTACATTGCAAAATTAAGTCATTTTATACGTGAAAATACATTACTGATGACCAAATTAACCTCATTACATGCATGTTTACATGTAAACTGCAGTTTACGTTTTCTGCTACAATGACAGTAATACTGATTAGTTCATAAATTTACTGACTGTTTTAACAAACTGTTCTGTTTACTACCAAGATTTTATTATAATATAAAGTATTTATTACTTAATTATAATATAATTACATTATAATCTTCTTATTTACGAAATTGGTAAAGGTAAACATTGGTTTGACGCTTGACAGATGCACAAATTAATATAGGTTAAAAAGATTCCTTCTTTATCTCTGCAAAAGATGCATAGAACACAATTTTGCGTTCTCGGTCATTGTACACGTGCGACATTTTTGTGGACCCCCCCTCCTCAGGGCTCCCAGCAGTCCATGTTGCGAGAAATAGTGACTTAAGAGACTAATAATAAAAAATAAACGACCAAATATAGACCAAATTAATTACCGAAATAACTATAAAATGGAGGTATCCATTTTTTTTTTTTTTGGATAAAAGATCTAAATTTGAATTTAAAATACATAGAGATAACTTGAAATTATAAATTTTTATTGAATTAAATTTAACAAGTAACCATAACTGTTATAAAATACATAAATAACAAAAAAAAATTAAATTTTGTAATAAATTATAACTTATAATAAATAGAATCACATTTATATAAAAGGCACTGGCATCAGTCATTTAATGGTTTTTTTTTTTTGGTGGGCTGCAGCTGATCTATAATATTCGCCTTATGTTTTTATAAATCTTGGGCTAGACGACTAATCTTGTAAGTTACCTTCCCCGCTTCTTTTTTGGGATGGTTCACTCCTTCAAACATTAGTTGAGCCATGCATATTTTAGTCATTTTTTTATTTTCGGCACACTTCCTTAAGGAATTAATTAATCATTCAATTTAATTTTTTTATGTCAGTACAAGTACATTTAAACTTTGCTATCGTCTGAACATAATTTTTTAGGGTTATGGAATGGATGATAAAACATAGAATAGGAACACATTCTTTGTCACATGTTCTTTAATAGATACTAGGTACTTACTAATTTCATGAAAAATGCATATATAGCTAGTGTTAACCTAGCGAACCGAAACTATAAACGTAAACGAAACCCTAGACCAAACCAGAAACAATTCAGCAATAATTTTGGCGGGCGGTTCGGGTCTGGACGGCGGGAACTTTAAATGTAAACTGCGAAGTTTTCGAATGTTTCACTTGGTTTACTGTGGTTTCAATATTTATAAAACTGTGAATATTTATATTTAAAAAAATATTTTTAATAGTTGATTTTAACAGAAAATATAGACTTTATAGACTTTAGGTAAAAAAATAGACTTTTATAGACTTAAGACAAAAATATAGACAAGTCTTTAAAAAAACTACCTGCTGGGAGCCCTGCCCCTCCTCGAATTTATATGGAGTTGAAGCTCCTGAATATAATCTTCTTAAATGGATCGTTTTAAAGCAGCGAGCGAGATAATTGAAAATAATAAAATTATCCTAGTTAAGAATACAGGCATTACATCTATATATAATATTTGTGAATATCATTACAAAAAGTACCACGAAGTTATGTAAATTTATACGTGATTTGACATAAAACGTTACGAAAAATATCACAAATTTTTTAAGGGAAATAAAATAAATAAACAAATGAACCTTATTCCAGGCTTCGCTATAACCAGAATTTGAACCTGATTTTATAATAATTTAATTACTTAATGAAGTATGCAGTATTTTGGATGTACCCCGTTCTTTAAAGAAAATTATCGTTTTGTCCCCATCTCAAATAATAAATTAAACGTGCAACGATATTTAAGCTCAAAACACCTCGAGATAGTAAAAGTTCGTAATTAAAAATAAATAATGCATTCATGTTTTTAATAAATAACTGAATTTAAAAAAATATGCTTTTATTTTATCATTTTTACCCTAACTTGACATAATTGTAATAATTTAAATAAGTTATACAACTTCAATACATTAAAATTTATAGATTATTATCAAACAAATTATTTTCTTATTTTTGTAAAAGTAGCACTTTTAAAAAATCATATTTCCTAAAAAAGTAAAAATAACAGAATAGCACTAACTGGACATAATTAACAGAGATATAGAATTTATTTTTTCTACTCCTATTATGGAATATGACCGTTCTAATATCACTTTTATCTATGGAATGACATATATTTCGTAAAGTGTTACAGAATGAAATATTCTATCATCTGATGACAGAATAAACACTCGTGGCGACATCTCTGTTTTTAATATCTAACAAATTTTAGACCGATCCAATCTCGCTTTCTTCCAATTAAATTATTTGTCTATGGTATATTTTGGTAACGTAGAAAAAGTATAGTCTGAAACACGTTTCGAATTGCATATTCCCCTCTCGTGAAACCGTCAAACTCGCCTTCGGCTCGTGTGACAAACTTTTCACTCGAGCGGAATATGCCGTATTCCAAACTTGTTACAGAATATACTATTCTAAAAATATAACATTTTTATAACTTTTCACTCGAGCGGAATATGCCGTATTCCAAACTTGTTACAGAATATACTATTCTGAAAATATAACATTTTTAATTTTTCCTCCACATCGGTTTTTTTGTGGGTCAAAGTTAAATATTTTTAAAAATGATCAATTTTCACAATTATTTTTTCTTAGAAGATATCATTTTAGAACAATGATAATTATTTCATGGCATCAAAAGGGTTAATACTTAAATTCTAAAAAAAATCAATCCTTAATGTGCAACTGTGTTGACACAGGGTCCAATTAAAAATCGTAAAAATGAGAAAAAATAGTAGAAATTTCAGATGGTCGCCATTTTGTTCCTAATTGTTCCAGTTTAGATTTATTTTGTAATATGAAATGCATTTACTACCCTATAAAACAAAGCATAAATCATTTTAATACCTATTCTTAAGAAAATGCTAGAGCCCATTATGTACAAGTATGAAATTGACCCAATTTTTGACTTCGGATGGGTACTGACTAGAAGTTATACGATAAAAAAATAAATAATGATGGTTTAGCATTTCTTGTACCTCAAAGATTATCCACAATTTTTTTTATTTCAATTAAAAATCATGCGGCACACCCCATTTGTTGATTTCATATGGAATGACTCTTATACTAAAAAAATACTTACATAGTCCACTCTGTCCTCCGCTAACCAGTGAAATGATTTTAGAAACAGTAACAAAGTAAATAGAGCTACAAATTTAGGATTAAAATCATCTCTAAAAACGGTAAAAGCTAAACAAGTTTCCGTTATTGCATACCATGAACGTTCCATTAAATGCTAAAAAGAAACATGAATGACTATGTATTTTAAATATACAAAATAAAATGTTGTTTACAACAAAATGTTATTAGCAACTGCCCATCACATCTCCTTTTATATTTACCCTTAGTTAAAAACATCAAATTAAAAATAAAATAAATTCATAGTAAAATTAGCGAGGTTTCTTAGTAATCGTTTTTTTATAAAGATATCCACACATTTCCAGCTACTGGCTGCTATACATGGAATAAAATAGTTAGTCTTTAATTTGATATCAGTGCAGTGATTAAAGCGCGGTAACGTTAATTTTGGTAAGTTAAATTTGGTAATTTAATCCGGCAAATTTCTTTACCAGTAATTTTCAAAAATGATTTCACCATCTAGCCCTGAATCTACGACTGCGACTCACCCCTGTAAAATCTTTATTTATTGTGCGGTTTAAACCGGATTTGTTTTAAAGTGTAGATCTTGATAAACTGTATTTTTAAAGCAAAAAATGTCATATTTTTACAAAATACAAGGCCTACTATATCAGTTTTTAATAGTAAATGATTAAAAATTCATATTAGCGATTTTTTAAACAAAATCTAAGCACGGCACTGGATTCACCGCCCCTTAACGACCCTATACTAAATTTTATTAAAAAAGTAACATGGTACTATTACTATAAGTTTAATTTTATTTCAATGTTTTTTTCATGGATAACTTGACAGAATACATTTTTCTAGTTATTTTTGTTTTTTTTTTTTCTACTTAAATTTTTTCAATAAAATTTAGTGGTTTTGAGAGGTGGTGAATCCAGTGCTGTGCTTAGATTTTGTTTAAAAAAATCGCTAATATGAATTCTTAAAAATTTACTCTTAAAAACTGACATAGTATGCCTTGTATTTTGTACAAATATGGCTCCAAAAATACAGTTTATCAAGATCTGCACTTTAAAACAAATCCGGTTAAAATCGCACAATAAATAAATATTTTACAGGGGTAAGTCGCAAAAAAATGGGTCACACTGTATAACGCGCTTGGATTTATTCATTTTCTTCACCTAGTTGCATTGTTTTTTGAAAGATGGCAATGATAGTGAGATTAGTAGAAATGGGTAACTCCCCGATTGCGATTTAGACGTGTTTGGCCAATCAATGGAAGTACCAACTTTAAAATGGATAGCGTTTATCGAAAAGGAACCAAGCGCCAAAAAATTTTTCTGGGGTAAACAAAATTATTTGCAAAATAACTCATTTTTAATGCTGCTCAAAAAATTAATAAGGGTTTGGGAACCTTCTCAATCCTTTTGAGAAAAATTCCAAATGATGATTTGAGCATTATTAAATATGAGTTATTTTACAAATATATCCAAATATAGATTCTGAGGAGGATGAAGATATTTAAATTTTTAAATATACTTTTTGTTTAGCACTAAATCAGAACGAATTTTTTTTAATGAATATTATTTGTCTAAACATTATATTTTTATGTAGGTTTCCTTTTATAACAAACAATAACATAATAAATGGTTTAAGTACGTAAAAAATACTAAAAATATATAATCCCAAATCGTATACATTATATTATTTTCATACACGTGGTATAATTATTTGTTTTCTGAAATATTGCCAAAATTACCGGTAAATTACCACTGAGAAAAATCAAATAAAAATTACCGGTAAACTTCAATCACTAGTTCAGTGTAAAGGAAGACAGAGAACTAACCATGATATGGGGCCGAAAGAACCACGGTCTTATATACAACCGGTCTATGTAAGATTGTGGTCCACACCCAAAAGTCCCACCACGTGACATACAAGGTTAATTTTCTGTTTGTATTAAGCTAACTTCGTCCTATTTTCTTTTTGTGCATTTTATATTGACGCTAAAAGCTAGTTTTTATCGTTAAAACAGTCACGTGATCAACTTTAGACGCGGAAATGTAGCGTCAATACTCTATGACGCTTATCGAGCGTTAACAGTCGGCGACTGTCGGTCTGATATACCTAAACAAACACAATAAAGCTTATGCTTCACCGTGAAAGCAAAGATTTTTAAATTTAAATGAATTTTACCTTAATTGATAAACTGTAGTAATTATTTTAAGTAATAATAAATTATAATAAAAAGAATATTAATATTAATTAATATTGATTTTAGTAATATATTTCCACTAATCTTAAAAAATACATTATTTTAATAAATCATTTATGAGTTTTAGTATGAGTATAAGGACGTCGATGGTTTTTGGGGGCCTTTAACTGACCCAAAACCAAGTACAATCCGGTCCGGTCCGGTCAGACGGGAGCACACCTCAGCAGACAAATAAGAGGCCCAGGAACCCTGAAAAAGGGAAACCAATGGCGAGTTAGTGCGATGCTGCAGTGGGGACCAAAATGGCTATAACAGACATTGGATACCCAACAAAGATGATTTCTGAGGAGCAGTCCCAGCTCCTCAAGCAATGGTTAATCGCCAAAATACCCGAAGAGGGGAAAGGTCCTCAGTTCGAGGGCACATACTATGGGGGAGGATTACTATACCTTACATGCGCCAACGAGTGGACCAAAAGTTGGCTCGCTGGTACAATGGGGGAAGCATCTCCATGGGAAGGAGCCCAACTCCAAACTTTGGAAGCAAACAAACTTCCAAAACCCGTAAAGGTCCTCGGATACTTAACCGAGGAAGTACAGGAGAAGGACCGGTTCCTGCGAAAGCTGGGCGCTCAAAACAAGCCAGAGACCGGGACTTGGAAAGTCCAACAGAAAGGTCGAGGGAGGCACTGGCTACCTAATGACCTTACTAATGGATGAACAGTCCTGGGAAAAAATGGGGGGGAAGAAAACCCTGTACCACAACCTAGGCTGGCTAAAGATCAGAAGGATCATCGGGAAGGAGCCCGAGAAAAAAGAAGAGGGGGAGCTCATTGAGCAGACCCCAATGGACGAGAAACCGACACCAGGTCCCTCGTCCACTGCTACAACCCAAAGTGGAGAAGAGGGGGAGCCTACTGGGCAGACCCCAACAGACGAGAAGGCGCCTGAAAAGCCCTCGTCTAGACTCTAATCGCCCCGCATGGTAGTGAGGATAATACAGATCAACCTCCACCAATGCAGGGCAGCAACATCGGCCCTATGCAAGTCTATGGCCGCTGACGAAATTCATATTGCCCTTATTCAGGAACCGTATATGTACAGGGGCCAGATAAGGAGTCTGAGGGGTTTCAGGGGGAGGCTTGTTTCACACTCCAATAAGGCGAACCCAAGAAGTTGTATTCTCGTCAGAGGTAACATGGATGTTATGCCACGGTGAACTTACTACGATAAAGACACAGCGACAGTAAGATTAAATCTAACATTAGAGGGGAGCCAACAAGATGTAATACTTACATCGGCGTACCTTCCTTATGACCAACAAGGGGAACCACCAGCCGCCATGCTCAGGTCTCTGGTGGAACACTTGGATCGGCTAACCTGATAATAGGTTGTGATGCCAATGCACATCACACAATGTGGGGGAGCACTGACATCAACAAACGTGGTGAATTACTACTCAACTACGGTCTCTCCACAGATATTAATATTCTCAACACTGGGAACGAGCCAACCTTCGTAACCGTGGCAAGAAAAGAAGTAATCGATCTAACTGTCAAAGGGACGCATAAGTGAACTGGTGAAACAGTGGCATGTATCGAATGAAATTAGTCTGTCAGACCACAGATACATAAGGTTTTACCTTGAATCGACAATTAACACCCAACGGGAGTACAGAAACCCAAGGAAAACGAACTGGGACCTATATAAAGAGGTACTAGAACGTAACTTGGAGAGCTGCCCAAAAGAGGCGAAAGATACCTTTGATCTTGAATTACTCACTGACTCGGTGACAGATTCCATTAAGGATGCCTACAAGCGGGCATGTCCACTGCGTTGCTCAAAACAAACATCTTGGTGGAACTCTGACCTAGAAAACCGCAGAAAGAAAACAAGAAAGCTGTTCAGCACAGCGAAAAGAACGGAAGGATGGTACCAAGGCTAAGAAACTAGGTTGGCAAAAACTATGCCGGGAACTATCAGAGATACCGGACTACTCCCGACTGCATAAAGCCATGGCCAAAGGGCCATAGCAGACCCTGGGAACATGCCTAAAACCAGAAGGAGAACACACGTCTACTGAAAGTGAGACACTTAGGCTTATGCTAAGGACCCACTTTCCAGGATCAATCATACTCGAAAATTCGGAAATCCAAAACCAAACCACACTTGAAATCAAGACGGGTAAAAAGGAGGACTGGATTCTATCGAGAAAAATAATAACATACGAAAAAGTCAAATGGGCAATAAAAACTTTTAAACCATTTAAATCTGCCGGAACTGGCGGAATCATACCAGCCATGTTACAACAGGGCCAAGACCTGCTGCTACCAAAATCCTAAGAGCCAGCCTAGCTCTCAATCACATACCGGAAGGATGGAGGGAGGCACTGGTGGTTTTTATACCAAAACCATCAAAAGCCTCCTATGACAAACCAAAATCCCTCCGACCAATTTGCCTAACATCATTTCTTCTAAAAACAGAGGAAAAACTGATAGGAAGAAGTACTGCACAGAAGGCCTCTACACCGAAATCAATTTGCCTACCAAACAGGTCTTGCGAATCCGCCATCCATGAGATAACTCAAAGGGCTGAGCAATCTTTAGACAACAAAGAAGTGCCCCTTGTGACATTCTTGGATATCGAAGGAGCGTTTGACAACACGTTATATGACTTAATAAATCGATCAGTAAGAGATCGCAACATAGAACCTTTGCTTGGCAAATGGATTAAACAGATGCTGGCTTAACGACGAGCCAGAACCACTCTTAAGAACACAACTGTTAGAGCTAAAGTGTGCAGAGGGACACCACAAGGGGGGGTCCTATCACCCCTGCTATGGAACCTCGTATCGGACAGTTTACTGACACGATTGGAGAATAAAGATATATACGCAATAGGATATGCGGACGACATTGTACTCCTTATCAGAGGCAGCAA